AGGGTGTCCCAAAAAAATGTATACACATTTTAAACAATTGTAACTTTGAGGTCTATTATAATTTTATTTTTTCAAAAATGCAAAATTATTTAGAAGCATCATTTTATTGTTTTCCACTGCACTTTCACTTTACTTTAAATATTCGAGAAAAAGAGAAGCCATTAAACATGAATGCGCTTAAATAAGAATGCAATTGTTTTGTGGTGTGTGTGATTCCATTGCTTGGCTTCGTCAGCAGTGTCTGGATTAAATGGATGTCAGTTTCAGAAAATGCAGTGAAAAAACCATAAAATGATACTTTAAAATAGTTTTACATTTTTGAAATGATAAAATTACAATAAATACCAAGTTTACAATTATATGAAATGTCTATACATTTTTTGGGACACCCTGTATGCATGAACATACGTAAACTTAACCATCTACATAACTCACGTTCTTATCCATAATTCGACTGTCGGTCCCTACGATGTCTGTCATGTGCTTCTCAGTATGGAAGTGCAGCGAGTGTGAATTACGCAAGGAGTCAAGAAGAGTGGAGACGGGGCGGAAGCAGGCGGCCAGAGCCACTGTGCCAGACTCAGATTCCACGGAGTGGGAATGCCATTAGGGCCACGGGAGGCCCGTACCTGCGTCTGCACCTACCCCTGCTACCAACACTCAATGGAAGCGGCGATACTAATCCCAGCTCATACAGTCTGGGCCTCCATATCACGTGCTACTCAGGTCCCAGGCACAATGACAGTAAGGTTAGGCATTTGCGAACTAAAATGTTATATTATTAGCTTTGGGAACACTAAAAGAACAGGACAAAGACTTACTGGTTTAATTTCCGGTGTGTCGTAATCCTTCTCGTCGTCCAAGAGAAATTTAAGTTGCGGATTTTTGTTAATTAGATTCCGCTGCATGCTGGCAAGCTTTGCTCTTAACTTGGAGTCACACTCTTCCCTCAATCGAACCCCTTCTTCTGCCTTCGACGCCTACGTTAAAAACAGAAGATGGGAACAAATGATAAGGGAATGCGAATGGGGATAGCATCCGTGTAACAGAGAGCACAAATCAACTAATGCTATAAATCCACCCGTTAAATTTTTTTGTGCTCAGGACTGATGGATTTTACACAAGGCGACTGTTTAAAGTGCAAAGGGTAGTTGGGGCATTCTAGTCCCTCCTATTATATTTTAATGCTTTATACGTATCCGAGCCGGGTTCTCAGGTGACTGCAGTCACATCAGTTTGGGCGCGTGTAACCAAGTAGCTGCTAATATTGTTGTTAAGACACGGGAACGTTTAAGCTATCGACAACGACAGCTTGCATATATTAATATACTTTTTCAACAGTTCGTAGCGAAGCAACATTCTATTAGAGCTGTTGTAAGCGCGATTAAGGCGTGGACACTAGATGGCGGGGTGCTCAACAGTCCCTGAAGCAATTTGGCTTTCTGGATAGGCCTCATC